CCCCCCCCGTTTCTTTTTCTAAAGTGAATCAATAAATTTAAAAACTGCCTTGGCCAGGTAGCTCAGTTGGTTAGGGTTGTCCCATATACTAAGGTTGTGGGTTCAATTTCCAGTCAGAGCACATACAAGAAGTAACCAATGAATGCATAAATAAGTGGAACAATGTTTCTCTTTCTTTCTCTTCCTCTCTCTCTAAAAATCAATAAATACAAATTTAAAAAAATTAGCTAGTAGTGGTGTTAGCTGTAGTAACTCAGATCATGTCAGTGCCCTAAATACTTCCTGACTTAGTTTCACTCCACCCTGCTCACTAGGCATTGGTGTCTTGCCTACTACCTATCCAATAAGTAGACTCTTGATGAGATAGATGGCTTGAGGGAGCAGGGCTTTAGGGCCTTCCCTCTCCTGAAATGCTCTCCCAGCCTCTTTTCCTGTGGCCTAGCTAACCCCTCATCCTTTTGCCTCAGCTCAAATGTCACTTGCTTCACCTCCCTAATCAAAGTTACAATCTACAGGGTCTACAGGTATACTCCCTTGATAAAATCAGCAGTACTATGATTTCTTACCAGGACAGGTAGAATTGTCCACAGATAGTCTTAATTCAGATTACACCGAAATCTGTTTTGATTGGTAGGTGTTTACGCTGTGTGCACCCAGTTAAATATTTTGAATATCATTCTTGCGTAGAGTTTTTTTCCTTCAACACAAGTATCACAATTTGCATATCTATATCTGTATATCTACATCTCTCTGTCTCTCTATATCTATCTAAATATCATCTATCTATCTATCTATCTATCTATCTATCTATCTATCTACCTACCTATCATCTATCTATCATCTATCATCATCATCTATCATCTAGTGTCCCCAAAAAATGCATACACACAGTTTGAATAATTGTAAAGGCAGTGTTTATTAAAATACATTTAATTTTCAAAATTGAGCTATCAGCTGTTAAAGTGTATATACATTTTTGGGGGAATGTATGTGTATATGTGTGTGTGTGTATCAGAGCTACTTCCTCTTTACACTATATCTTCTCACTTTTTAAACTGGGGTCCTTAAACTCTGACTCACTTCCTTCTCTGCTTCAGAGAACAGGGTCCTCATTCTCTCTATTCCCTAATTCTCAACTCTGTGCTGAGTTTAAATGGAGGTATTTTTTCTCCCCACTGGCTGTTGACCCAGAGCTTCAGTTCTTAACCACGTGGGCTCCTCCTCATGACATGGCAGCTGGCTCCCCCCACAGCCAATGAGCCAAGAGAGAGATGAACACAGAAGTCACAATGTCCTTTATGATTTAACATCAGAAGTGACATACCACCACCTCTGCTGTAATCTATTAGTCACACAGACCAACCTTGATTCAGTGTGGGAGAGGACTACCCAAGAATGTGAATACCAGGGGGGAGGGATCATTAGGGGCGATCTCAGAGACTGACTACCATAGAGGGGTTAGAGAAATCTGGAGAGGGAAGAAGAAATTTTAGGACGTGAAGAAGGAACATGGAGGACACATTAACCAAATGCCTATTATGGGCCAGGCCCTTTACATCAAGTTATTAATCTTTTCCACAACACTGAGGGGTAGATATTATTCCTATTTTTCATAGAAAGGAATTGAAACATGAAGAAATTAAGTGTCCAAAATTAAATCCAGTAAGTAGCAGAGTCAGGATTTGTTACATTGTTATGTGTGCCACTTCCGTTACATTTAGTATGTACCAAAGAGTGGGATATGTGCTACTGATGGTATAAGAAGTAATTTTAGTTAGTAGAGCACAGCAGTTTTCAAACGGTGTGCCATGGCAGGCACACTAGTATGCTGCAAGAATTTTTAAAACATGCAATACCTGACTAGTCAGGGTCACTGCCCTCTTTTTCCTTAGACTATCAAATAAAAAAAAATGACAACAGCCAACATAATAATAGCTGTCCAGTGTGAATATATCAAAATTTTACCTAATTTTTTTTTTTGGTCAGATTGGCAAAAAATTTCCTTTTTGGTGTGCTGCAGAATTTTAGTAATTAGCTTATGTATATCATGAGATGAAAAAGGTTGAGAATCTCTGGTATAGAGAGAGATATAGCACTGAATAACATTGAAAGTATAAAAATTAAATGCTTTTCAACCCTCTGAATTTGTCAAGGGAAAGCTTCAGTTTGGTTGACTTATGCCTTATTACTTCTCTAACAATTGTTAGTTTCTCGTTTTAAGAAAGACAGGGCAGCCAGCCGGTGTGGCTCAGTGGTTGAGCACAGACCAGGATATCATGGTTCGATTCCAGGGCAGGGCACATATCCCGGCTTTGGGCTCAATTCCCAGCAGGGGGTGTGCAGGAGGCAGCTGATGAATGACTCATTTTCTCTCTCTCTCTTCCTCTCTCTGAAAGAGAGGGCAGGCCCTGGCAGGGTGGCTCAGTTGTTTGGAGCATCGTCCCTGTGCACCAAAAGGTTGCTGGTTTGATCCCTGGTGGGTGCAGCTATGGGGGGCAACCAATCAATGTTTCTCTCTCACAACTATGTTTCTCTTTCTCTCTCTCTCTTCCTCTCTCTCTAAAATAATTAGTAAAAACATATCCTTGGGTGAGGAAAAAAAGAGACAGCAGGCCTCAAGATTAGCATTTTAACAATGATATTTTTTGGTAGAATTTAATATTATATTTCATTTTTATTGTGTTTGTTTTATAGTTTGTTGGCTATATATAATGATTTTAAATTTACTAAAGGAATATAGGTTTGACTTAGATGCTTTATTTAAGACTGATACAAAAAGTTTAAGTAATAGTATACTGTTCAAGTGATACTTTTTTTTTTTAATGTATCTTTATTGATTTCAGAGAGAGGAAAGGAGAGGGATAGAGAGAGCTAGAAACACCAATGATGAGTCACTGATCGGCTGCCTCCTGCTCACCCCCAGACTGGGGATGGAGCCTGCAACCCTGGCATGTGCCCTGACCGAAAATCGAACCCCGATTGCCTGGATGTTAGGTCCACACTCAACAGCTTAGCCACGCCCTGCCAGGCTCAAGTGATACTTTTATACGGCAAAAATTATGAGGATGGCACTGACAGGTTTATTGCCTCCCCATCAGCTCTATGTTGAAGGGGAAGCCAGTTTGTAGTTCCAGCCTCAACTGGGTTCTGCCATGGGAACTAGTTGGACAGAATGACAATTGAAAATTCACAACTATCTCTGGCCAGTGTGGCTTAGTTGGTTGGAGGGCCCTATGCACGAAGGGTATTGGGTTTGATTCCCAGTCAGGGCACATACCCAGGTTGTGGGGTCCATCCCTGGTAGCTGTGGGCTGGGAGGTGGCCCATCCATGTTTCTCTCTTCTCCCCCCCCCCTTCCTCTCTCTCCAAAACCAATAAAAACATATCCTTGGATGAGGATTTCACAATCCTTTCCTGTGATATTTCCCAAGCAATTCTCCGATTTTCAGTGAATTCCTCAAGGCTGGTGGGGAGTTTTGCAGATAGGTTAATGAAGCTAGGAATAAGAATGAGTTTAGTGGGAAACTTAAGCTTCACGCCCTATTCAACTGCCTATTAAAAACCACGCGTGGTGCCCCAGCCGGTTTGCTCACTGGTTAGAGCCTGGGAGGGCGGAATGAAGGGTCCCGGGGTTTGATTCTGATCAGGGGCATATACCTCGGTTGCAGTCTTGCATCCATGTTTCTCTCTCTCTCCCTCTCCCTTCCACTCCGAAAAGCAATGCAGAAAATATTCTCGGGTGAGGATTTAAAAAACCCCCACACAAAACAAAACCATGTGTGGCCGGTGGAGACAGTACAGCGGGGAAACGGACACATGTGCACTCCCCAATCTCTTAGTACTGGATCCAGCTCCATAGTCTGTGATTTTGGGGGTCCTCCAATACTTCCAAGCCATTGTATTTGCACATTTAAAGTTCCTGTGGGGTAATGGACAGGACCAACGTTTTAGGACGTACGGGGTATGGCTGCAAATTTTTGTATTAGAGGGGTAGGGGGACAAGGTTCGGAAGGGGGTCTCTGAAGTTGCGTTTGTACATGATTTTACACTTGTGGACAATTCCCGTGGCTAAATAGGCGGTGGGGTATTCTAAGTAACAGGGCCAAGTTCAGTCCCAGAGTTCAGATAACACAGAACCGGCTGGACCATTTCGGCCTCCGCGAGCCACCCCCTCCCGCCCCCAGCGGTCCCTCGGGGAGAGTCTGTCTGGGTCCCAAACCGTCCCTGCATGAGGTCACCCTGCCAGATCACGTGCTCGAGCCCGCGGAAGCGCCACATCGCCAGCCGCGCCCCTGCACCCCCACCCTGCCCACGTGACCCGGCCTACTTTCTCCCCGCCCGACCCGAAGCTTCGCTCGGGAAGCCCCGCCCCACGCAGTGCTCTAGCCCTGCGAACCTCCGCCCCTCTTCGGCCCAGGCTCTAGGTTGGCCAGCGGCCCCACGTGTTTCTCCCTGTCCAATTGGAGCCGGCGCTCGGGCGCGAAGGGGCGGGAAGAAAGAACGACTTCGTTACGCTGGGAGAGGGGGGCGGGGCCTGTAACGTCGGAGTGAACGGAGGGACGCAACGGAGGCAGGCCGGAGCCGCTGCCGTCGCCATGACCCGTGAGCACTGAGACCCCTCTCCTCTTGCCCTTTTTTTTCTGTCTACCCTACACAGGACTCCCTAGTCCCGGCATTCACCTCCTCGTGGCTTCCCCAGCGAGGCCTTGTTCTGGGAATGCTCTTTAGCGACCCTCACACTCGAAGCCCGGAAATCGGCCCTTTACCCACCGCCACTTCTTGAGAAATACTCGCCCGTCCACCCCCAACGCACCGGCCAGGCAAAGGGCCTCCCCGACCTTCCACGGTGTGGGGAGAAGCTCTGTGTCTGGGTGAAAGGCCCAGAGCCCCCTACTCCAAATCTTAGCCCAGCCCCCACAGAGACCCAAACCGTTCACACACACACCACCACCTGTCTGGGCCCCCGCGCGGCCCCGAAACACGCCTCTAGCAGGCTCCTCCGGGCTGTCTTTTCTCCATTCCTCAATTTGCCCTGCCCCGTGGCAGGCAGCTCGGCCCCCTTGACCCTCCCCCGCCCCCCAATCAGCCTAAGCCCCTAACTGGGCCTGTGTCGGGACCCGGGGAATGAAGTCTTGGATCCTACGGTGTCCGGGTGAGGTTAGCGAGTCGTCGGTATATGGCCAGAAAGGCCCCCGCGTCTCACCTTTTACCTTCTTTCTTTAGGCGGTAACCAGCGCGAGCTCGCCCGCCAGAAGAATATGAAAAAGCAGAGCGACTCGGTTAAGGGAAAGCGCCGAGATGACGGGCTTTCTGCTGCCGCCCGCAAGCAGAGGTAGCCCCTGGGAGGGGAGGGAAAAGAAGGGGTGAGACTTGGGTTAGACCAAGGGTTGTACCAGAAAAGGGTTGTACCTCAGGGCTTACATCTGAAGTAGTCCGTGAGGGGCAGAGTGCATTGCTTCCTCTAGGGTTTTATTTCCTTCCCCACGCTCCAAATTGTTAGTTCACTGCTTTACAGGAAGGGACTGGGGCGGGTGCCTGCCCTAGGTCTGATTTCTGAGTGCCCCTGGGTCTGACCTTAAGGGCAAGGGCAGGGAGCTTCACATTTCAAATGCATTAGTGGTTATGACAGCCCTGTACTTTCGGCCCTCCTTACTGTTGGTTTCTCCTCCCTTCTCCCAACCTTTTCACTAGTGTTGCTGGGTGTGGTACTCAGCACAGAATAGCCTTGTGTGGCCAGACTTCTGACCCCTTGGGCAACAGCCAGATAGAGACTGATTGCCTTTTTTGAGCCTCAGCTCTCTTCCTTTTATTCTCCTTGGGTGGGAATAAGCAGCCACACGCTGAATTTTGTCCCATCCACTTCCATCTTATCCTTTGTGCCCTTCATCCCCCTGCATCTTGTCCTTTTTGCCCTCTGGTACCTCCCAGTGCCCCATCATCTCTACCCCCAGGGACTCGGAGATCATGCAGCAGAAGCAGAAAAAGGCAAACGAGAAGAAGGAGGAACCCAAGTAGCTTTGTGGCTTCGTGTCCAACCCTCTTGCCCTTCGCCTGTGTGCCTGGAGCCAGTCCCACCACGCTCGCGTTTCCTCCTGTAGTGCTCACAGGTCCCAGCACCGATGGCATTCCCTTTGCCCTGAGTCTGCAGCGGGTCCCTTTTGTGCTTCCTTCCCCTCAGGTAGCCTCTCTTCCCCTGGGCCACTCCTGGGGGTGAGGGGGTTACCCCTTCCCAGTGTTTTTTTATTCCTGTGGGGCTCACCCCAAAGTATTAAAAGTAGCTTTGTAATTCCTTGAGCGCCTGGTTTGACTGGGGATTTGGGGGGGATGGGGATGGAGGAATGGCTGCCCTTTCCCACAAAAAGGGGAGAGAACTTTTAGACCCTAAAAGGTTGTGGATATGTAGTCCAAGTGAAACTTCACAGAAAAATTCTTTATTGTTTTACAACAAGCAGACAAGTACTCTGGGTATATGGTAGAGGAATCCTCTAAGAATCATAGGGACTTCTTTTCTGTGATGTTTGTCCCCCACCCAGACCTTAATACCATCCCAAGGATGGAGTTGAGGGTCTAAGAAGGAAGGCTCCAAGACCCAGGTCTGTGCCCCTCTTCCTTATTCTTCCTCAGTTTGTTTGCCTGCTTGAAAGTTGTCCCCACAGTCCTGCTGCTTACTGACTTCCATGGTCAGCTGCTTTCAAGTGTTCACATTCTCTTCTTTCATTCCTCCTGGAATGAGGGTTTTTGTCTTCCCACTTCTTTGACCTCAAGATCAGGATTAATTAAAACCTAGGGTAGTCTGTGTTTCTTTCTTCCTGTGTCCTGGTTTATTCTGGGGTTCTGGGCTTCTTATATCCCTGTGCCTAGGCTGAATTGCTTATGTTTCTTTTTATCTCCAAGGGCAGAGCCAAGTAAGTCGTCAGTTTCTGTTGGTCTTTCCCTGCCCCCATCTCCACCATGAAAGCCAGGAAATGGCTGGTGTCACACTGTTTGCTGGGATCAGCAGTAGTTCCTGAGCTGCTGACTTGGGAGTTAGACTCTTGAGTTGGGGTAAAGATGTAGTGGTAGCTCTTTTTGAGTCAGATACTTGCCCAGGGCATTAGGGTATATATGGCCACTTTTTCCAATTCAGACATAGTATTGATGTCAGCCTAAATGAGGTAACTGCTGGATAGCTCCCCTCAACCAAGACTAGGGGCACAACTTTAAGGGAATCCCAGTTGTGTTAAAAGTACTTAGACTTGGATATGTGTTATCTGGTGATACTGATACGATGACAATGTCGCCTGAAAATAGGAGGAGGCTTGGGGTCCTGGTTGGGGGACCAACAGAGTGGTGCCAGTAGCAGCCCCAGATAGAGGAGTACACAGGTCCAGCATGAGGCAACCTTGACCCAGAAGGTAGCCCAGCTGCCCTTGGTGAAGGTCTTTTCCAGTTCTGCTCCCTCATAGCTGTGGAACCAAAGTCTGTGGTTAGAGAATATGCAGGGCCTTCGTGTTTAGACCTGTCTTACCTTCACACCAGATTATGGCAGACCCATGTGTGTCTCCTGGGAACCCTTGGGATTGGCCTTGAATTGCTCTTTTCCTATAATAGCTAGGTTTTCAGGAGAGTTTCCCAGGCCTACCTCCATCCTACCTGAACCAGTTGGTAAGGGTAACCATGACATAGAGTGATGCAAGGAAGAAGACGAAGTGGAAGGCAGAATAGCTGTAGGAAAGATGCTGGGCTTGAACTGGAGGAGTTGGAGAGGTCTCTTGGTCAGCTGGCCTGGCAGCTCCTCCCCTTTGCCCTGAAGAGAGGGAGGGGCTGCTGGGCACAGTGCTGCTAAAATACGGCTTCCATCTTCCTCCTCCCCCGGCTTTTGTGAAGGCGCTTAAGGGCTCTTTGGCACTGCAGAAATCTACACTTCTTATGGATCCTCACTTGACACTTACCTTCCTCTGGCTCCACTACTTCAGGGCAACAGAAACAGAGTGAGGGCTTCTGTAAAACAAAATGTTTTGGAATGACGTTGAAAAGAATGTGAAGGTATTAATATAGGACACTCCCTTTCTTTGAAAAGATTAATCTGGTGTAAGAAGTAGAGGCACACCTGGGTTCAAATGCTAGTTCCAGCATATAACTGGCTATGGGAATTTTGGTAAGATGTTTAATGTGCCTCAGTTTCTCCATTTGTAAAATGGAGCAAATACCTACCTCACAGGGTTGTTGTGAGGATTACATTAAATGAGATTATGTATGTAAAGTAGCACAGTGCCTAGCACATTGTGGGTACTCAATAAAAGGTAATAGCAGCTAGAATCTGAGCTTTCTGGGTAGAGACTGGTAGGATGTGTGTGTGTGTGTGTCTGTCTGTGGGGAGGGAGGGGCATTGGGGATACTGAGCTCTTCATTCTCACCTGGAACTCATAGCTGTAAACCTTGATGATCCACAAGGGCCCAAATACCTCAGCCAGGTAGGAGGCCTCATTGCTGAGAAAGAATACAGTTCTCAAGCAGGTTAAGTCAAATAGGAGGAATTACCTGAGGGCATCTACTGCCAGCTGGTCCATATTGGTAACTCTCGGGAGGGCACTGTGTTCCCAGAACCCTTTTCCCCACAAAGATTTAGAAATCCTTATATGAGGTCCCTAAAAATCTTTGCATGTATTTTTAGTTCTCAAATCATTCCCCCGCCCCCCTTTTCTCCTACAGATCATCTGACACGTGCTATTCTTAGAAACTTGCTTTCCTCTTGTCTTGCTTTAAGCAGGAGTGGGGAACTCTGGGCCATATGCGGCCCTCAAAATCATTTAGTCTGGCCTTGCCCAGGCAACTGCAGGCGGAACTCAAAATTCAATAAATCTAGGAACTTCTTCCATAGTTAATTTTTAAGTTGATAATTTTGTATGGTCTGCCAATGATGTTATAAATATCCAAATGGCCCTTGGCAGAAAAAAGGTTTCCCACCCCTGCGTTAAAGTTTAAATAAACATAATCCCAGACAAGTCTGACCATCCCTCCCTGTCCTGGGCATTCTCCCTTCTTCCCCATTTCTCCCCTTTACACTTCTACGCACCAAGCGAAAAGCACACAAGCATACATGATTCCCGCGCTCAACACTGCCAGAGAAGTATCTGGTGTTTGGGGTGCCGCTTTACTTAGGCCAGGCAGGCACAGAGTGTGATTCTGTCCTTGGAGGATTACTGAGAAAGGGTAAAAGGAGAGAAGTGAGAACAAAGCTAGGTATTTGGCGGGAGCAAAAAAAGTTTTAGCATGGGGAGTCCAGGTCCTGTCCTTACCACTCTCTGGAGGTCGGCTGGACAGTGCAGAGAAGGTCAGGTACATGATATAACAGCTGATGATAGAGGCTTGTAGAAGGCCAGAGCGGGGTTGCTCTGGGAAGAAGGGATCATTGCTTTAGTCTACAGGATAGTAATTTCCTCCACTCCTATCCCCAAGCACACTTCTGTCTCCCCACCCTTTGGGGGAAGCAGAGAATTAGCTGGGATTAGGGAAACTAATGAAATTTGCTATACTAAAGGTCCCCCAAATCTGGAATGTACAAGGCATGTACCCACTGAGGCGGATGCAAGGAGTGATGGAGAGGATGGAGAGGAGGCCACAGAAACAAAGGTGCAGGCTAAGCAGCATCTTGTTGAGCAGGCAGCCAGCTGGGTGCGTGTAGTAGTAGAACAGGAACACTGCTGCCACACCTGCTATGCTGTAGAATCCTAAGGTGGCCAGCAGCATGGCTAGGAACCAGCAGCAATCTTGGGATGCACCTGTCTGCCTAAGGGTGGGAGGTGGGCAATGGCTTGGGACTCCAACTCTTTTCTTTTTACCCATTACCTACCAACCAATCCCCTCTCCCAGAAGACTGGTGTGACTACCCATTCCTAATGGCCCACACAGTTAATCAGATTCCTGAGCTTTTTTGATATTGCTCAGTGGGAAGTTACGGGACCGGTGACCTGAACTGTCCTTTGCCCAGGGCCACTGGGTCTATTAATGTTGGACAACATTAGTAGAACCTTTAGAGTTTGGTGCTGCTTACCAGTTCTTATTCCAGGAATGGGCAAAGGCTGTGATAAGCACCAACTGCAGCAGGATGAATGTGAAGCCTCCACAGATGCCAATGTAATGCCAGGCTGCAAGTGGGGCACAGTGGGAAAATGCAGCTGATCATATTATTATTACTCCTGGTCCTCTTTCTACCCTCTCTTTTAGAAAATCCTTTAGCCTACTGATCAGGATGTAAGATGGAAGGTACCTGGGAATAGATGCTCATCAGGGATGCAGAAAGCAACAGCACAGAGACCTAGCAGGAACAGCAGCTTCAGGATCCAGAAGCTGGTTAGCAGGGAAAGAAAACCAGATTCAGAAGAAAACGCAAAGGAGAGTGAACAGTGCCTATGGAGGAGGGCAAAGGAGAAAGCAAAACTATAGGAAAGGGGAGAGAAGAGATAGGTCAGTATAGGAAAGGAAGAACCATTCCTGTGTGAGAGGGGCTAGAAACAGGCCCATCACAGCTTATTCCGAATTCTCTGATATCTAAATAACATCTGGACAACATTTTACCGTTGATAGAGGGTTTGCATATAACCCCAATGTCACTTCCATTTTAGAAATGAGAAGTTCAGGCCCTGGCTGGGTAGCTCAGTTGGTTTAGAGTGTCAGCCTGATAAACCAAGGTTGTGAGTTCCATACCGAGTTAGGGCACATACAGGAATCAACCAATGAATGCCTAAATAAATGGAACAACAAATTGATGCCCCCCTCCCTCTCTCTAAAAATCAATTTTAAAATATCTTAAAAAAATAGAAACTAGAAGTTCAAAGAGGATAAGTGTGTGGGTTCGTGGTCACACAGCAAGTACATCAGAAGCAGGACTTAAACCTGTTTTCTGTCTTTTTACGGTGCTATTATTTCATCTTGTAATTTCCTTTAAGCTTATGTCTACTTCCCATCCTCTTCCCACCCAAAGAGTACATACAAACCTGTTATGCAGCTGTGCACGCAGGCTGGTAGGGGAGTGGAGGTGGACCAGCAGCACAGCCTGCAGCAGGTGGAAGGTGGCAGTTCCTGCACAAACTCGGTACACAGCCCCAGCACCACTGAGCACTGGGCAGTGCGAGTGGCCAAACAGATGGGCACACAACCCTGAGGGCATCTGGATCTGGAAGGAGGGCAAGTTGTCATGCATAGAGAGGTACCTACTTCTGATGGGTATTAACCACTCATTTGTACCCAGCCCCCAATCTGAATCTTGTCAGTGCAACCCAATCCCCTCACACTTACCCCATGCACCTTGCCCCAGACCCTCTCCACTACTGTTCTTGACAGCAGGAGGCAGCAGACTGCTGAGGCCCCTACATGGAGGATTATGTAGAACAGGCGGCTACAAGTGGACTCTGTGAGATGAGGCCACCTAAAATGGCAGCAGCAGGTACAGGGAACAGACCCACAGCAGGACACCTGGGGGTAGAGCACATGCAGTGCAGCAAGGGAAGGGTTACATTAATGCATGTGTGAGTTTAAAGTATGAGACTGAGTTCCAAAAATTTCCCTTCCAAGCTATTTAGGATTGCCTACCACTGACATAAAGTAGAGCATTCATCATAAAGAGCTTACCTGCAGGCTTGAGCAGACCTACCTAAAAGCCTAAGTCACACCTGGCCTCTTCCCTTTCCCCAGACCTAAATATCTGGTACTGGGAACGTAGGAGGAGAGGTTTAATGATCAGTAACCTTAGAGGCAAAGAAGCAGAAGGGCCTCAGAAGGGGAAGGCAGGCCTATCTTTATTGGCTCCTACGGGCTTTCCTCCCCAGCTTCAACCACCATTCCCTTCCACTTTTTCACACAGTTCTTATCTAGGGAGCTTTCAAGCCTCTGCCCAAGTACCCTCTCACCTGATAGAAAGGAGGATTCACTATGACACTGCTGACTCCACTGCATTGCTGTGCCAGGCGGAGGGAGGTGCTGGGACCTGCGACGGGCTTTGCACCCACCATCCTTATGCCAGGGATTAGGCCCAGATCCACCAGATGGAAGGTAGATGAGAAAATAGCAGCCCTCTTTTGTCCTCAGCCCATTTCATTGGACTGCCGCTGTGCTGGGGCTGGTCACCCAATTTAAGACAGAACGGGGAGGAACACCAGGAAAAGAACACCAACCTCCAGGATGTGGTAAATGCAAATATTCCTGTGAAACTACTTTCTCCCATGGGTTCTTAGGCCACTCCAGCTGTTCTCCCCAGATTAGAGAGCAGTTTGCATATGTGGCCTCCTGCGGATTAGCATTCTTAATTGGTTTAGGATTAGACATCCTTGCTGGTTGAACAGAATTCCTTGGGAGTGTGTGTGTATGCCCGGGGAGGGTGATGGTGGGAGGGATTTCTGAAAAGAGGGAAGGATGTGTGTCGGGAAGGCCTGGAGTGGTGACTGGCTAAGTCTGGGAGAGGGCTTTGCACAAAACAACAATGTACAAGCCCGAAAGGAAAGCTGACTGGGGACCCTCTTTCCTCGCCGAAGCTTCTAGAACCAGAGTATTAAACGAAGGTGTGGCCCAGGGATAGCCCTCCTCCTCCTCTCCCGGCGGATGTTGAGGGGCATTACCGGAAGTCGTGGGGCGGGGCGGAGCCTTGCGGCGGCGCGGTGGGATCGACATGGCGACCGAGGGAGATGTGGAGCTGGAGTTGGAGACCGAGACCAGCGGTCCGGAGCGGCCTCCAGAGAAGCCGCGAAAACATGACAGTGGTGCGGCGGACCTGGAGAGAGTCACCGACTACGCGGAGGAGAAGGAGATCCAAAGTTCTAATCTGGAGACGGTGAGGTTGGCCGGCGGGAGCCTTTCGGTCGGGCTGAGAGCAGAGGGGGCTCCGAGGCTGTAACTGAAAGCCCGGCTCCAGGACGGGGTCACGATCCCGATGGCGGGAGGAGGCAAGAGGGAAACCGAACCATCACTGGGGCCCGCGGCTTGCGAAAAGGAGCTTTCTGGAGATTGGGTTTAAAGTGGGCCTCAGGAGCGCAGAATTGAATTAAATAGGCCTTGGTTCCTGAAACACTCGTCATCGTGAATACACACCTGCCTCGCTTAATAGCTCTTTGTATTAGGGCTTGCGGGTAGCAGAACAGTAACTAGATTTGTCTTTCTCGTAGGCCATGTCCGTGATTGGAGACAGACGTTCCCGGGAGCAGAAAGCCAAACAAGAGCGGTAAATCTTAAGCACGCAGCCAGCCCTACCAGTCCGGCTTTCCCCCAGCAAAATGTCATGATTAAGCCTTTGTACCTTGTACCAGTCTTCAACTCTATCACTGATTCCCTCAGATCGAAGTTTACAACTTTAGTCTTTTGTTTGTAGAAGGAAAGGCCTCCTGGCAACACCTACTGCCTCTTCTAAAGACTCCAGGGGAAAGGGTGGGAATGTTACATAGAGAGAGTGGGAGTCCTTTTGTATTTTCACTCAACAGTGTTTATCAAGAGTTATTTATTTGTAAGGCACAGCTGGGAATGATTCCTCATGAGAGTTTATGATGGAGGTAGAGAATGAGGACTAATGTACATGAATATTTGTAGGGAGAAGGAACTGGCAAAAGTCACCATCAAGAAAGAAGATCTGGAGCTGATAGTGAGTATTGATGCCTAAGTAGTGAATGGGCAGGGGAGGTTACTTTGCCTAGTTTGGGTTGTTTCCTGAAACAAGCAGAGTTAGCATGTTTTGGTGGCACATTAATGCGGGAGAGGAGGCTTAGGTAACATCATTGATCCTTTTCCTGCAGATGACAGAGATGGAGATCTCAAGAGCAGCAGCAGAGCGGAGCTTGAGGGAACACATGGGGAATGTGGTAGAGGCTCTTATTGCCCTAACAAACTGATTTGTGCTTTTTCAGACCTACCCACTGTATTAACTTATTGCAATAAAGATTTTTTTTTTTTTTTTTTT